TTGAAAGCACTGGAGAAGTCAAAGAACATGACCTTCACCATGATTCCGGGGGACTCCAGATGAGATACAGCTCGATGCAGCATGTAGATAATGGTGTCATCAACCCTGATGCCAGGACGATATGCAAACTGCAGCGGCTCGAGCGCCAAGATCACCTGGGCACGGTGGTGGCTGAAGACAATCCTCTCTATCATCTTCATCAGGTGGGAGGTCAGGACAACGGGTCTGTAATGGTTCGGCTCCCTAGGATGAGGTATTTTGGGAACTGGGACAACACAGGATGTCTTCCATAGGGCTGGGACTCTCTCCAGGCTAAGACTCAGGTTAAACATGTACAGGACCACCTCACTGAGCTGGTCTGCACACTCCCTGAGGACCCTGGGGCTGATGTGGTCAGGGCCTGTGGCCTTCCTGGCCTTAATCCTCCTTAACTCCATCCTGACCTGGTCTGCCTTGAGGCGGAGGGGGTGGTGGGCGGTGACTGTACAGGAGCTGTGGGATGTTGAGAAACCCCCGTGACAGTGGGAGGAGGGGCAAGGTCTAGCTGAGGTGTGAGTAACTGCGGCTGCAGGGAGAGAACTGACCTGGAGAAGTAAGTCGGGTGGGCTGGCAGGGTGGGGGCTGAGGAGGTGGGGGAAGGTCTAGCGTGGGTATGAGCAGCTGCAGCTGCAGGGAGAGAACTGACCTGGAGAAGTAAGTCGGGTGGGCTGGCAGGGTGGGGGCTGAGGACTGGGTAGAGTCAAATCTATTAAAAAACAGATTCTGTTTATTTGCCCAAGCCTTGTCCCCCGCGACCTGGTGAACATCTCCACTTTTACCATGACCCAAGATGTGTTTCAGGCCTCTCCACACCTCACACGTTGTTCATTTCCATGCTCTGCTCCAGCTTCTTCCTGTAGCTAGCCTTGCACCTCCAGATCATGTACTTTAGTTCCCGCTGCACCCTGCTCAGCTCCTCCTTGTCCCCTGAGAGGAAAGCCCTCTTCTTCTCATTTAGCAATACTTTTAACTCAGGGCTCACCCACCCACGGCTTGTTGTTAGGAAAACACCGTACTCTCCTGGATGGTACGGTATTTTCCACACAGAAGTTTATGTAATCCGAAACACAGTATGCGAGGCTGTCTATGTCCTCTCCATGAGGACTGCAGAGGAAGTCCCAGTCTGTGGTGTGAAAACAGTCCCTCATGCTCAATTGCCTCCTCTGTCCATACCTTTACTACCCTGACCTGAGGTGACACTTTTTTCACCACTGGAGTATACACTGGAAGTAGGTGAACAAGGTTGTGGTCAGAGCGACCTAGAGGGGGGCGGAGGTGTACGCCTTCCTGGCATTTGCATACATAAATATGTCATCATGCAGAAATATGTCATAAATATATCCAGAAATCCTAGATAGCCTGTATTTGTGGTGCCATTAAAACATAATGTACTTTTTTAGTGTAGTTGTGGTGCACTGTAACAGTGGACTCGTGTATTTTGACTTCATGACTGATTTATATAAAACTTAACATAAGTCACATACTGATGTGGCTGGAAAGAGAGACTTTTGTAGTAGTAATGCACCCAAAGCTGTTTGCCGACCGCCATTAACCAACAGATGATGAAGAAGAAGAACGTTAAGTATAATTAGGTTATACCTCCGCTGACTAAGGCTTTTTTGTACCTTAAATATCGATAACCTCATTTGTTTATTCGAGTATTGTGTTGGGACGGCAGTCAGTATCACTTACGTTAACAGTACAGCATTTTCAGTTGTGTTCTCTATTAATGTTTACTAGGATTATTATGGCATGCAAAATATCATTTCCAGCTGCAATGTAGTTAACGTTAACATTCGCTAACGTTAAATAGTTTAGCGTTAGTTTTGCTAGTGTCGTTCATTTAGCTAGCTTCCAAATTGAAATGTTTATACATTACCTATGTTTATTTTACTGGTATGTATTTATTTATGCAGGCTAATAAATAACATTGTCACTGACTTTAGTCCCCGAACAGTTTTAGTTGCATCACATTGGCTGAGGACTCGAGCTACGTTAGCAGCAATGGATATTGATTAGCGTTTGTGACAAGCCTATTGATGAGCACAGGGGCGTGGTGTCGCTTTTTTCTACACGTGGAAACATTTAAAAGTGTGGGCAAACTATAACGTTGGTTTGTTGGGTGTTTACTCAGGAGGCAAAAGACAGTTAGTAGCTTTTTTCTGTTTGACCCGGACAGGAAAACGGTTGTTTTGAGTTGTATATTTGCCGTTTTGTATTTGAAAGCTACGTGATGTGTTAATATTTTGACTGCGAAAAGGAACCGGCTTTTAAATCATTTTTGTCCCCATCATACACAGGCTAACATGCTTCCGGACGCCTACGGTTGCGTTGTGGCGAACAGGTTCGGGAATCTTTCGGATGACGATGCTGACCCGTTCGACTTGATCAGCCAAGTGGAGATGGAAAAGGACAAAAAGAAGAAGAAGAAAAAGGACGAGGAGGAGAAGAAAAGCAAACAGAAAAAACCTAGTCATAAGGAATCCCAGAGGGACAGACGCGTCCCTGTCGCGCCGGACGATAAAGACCCATTTCCGGGTAAGATCCACACACTTTGCTGCATTAATGTTACACACGCCAAATTCAAACCATTCTGGCAGCAGCAGCTAGTGTTTCTAGAAAGAATCGTCTAGATGGTTTGCTTGATGGTGCTAGATCATCAGGGCTGTTAGGTCCATGTGAATGGTGTCAGGGCGGATTTCCACATAGCTGAATTCCCTCAGTGTTATCTTCTAATCTTATAGCATATTCTAAACTGTACTCAAATGTATGGATTTTAATTATGCAATAAACCTGCTATCTATTAACTTGGACAAAAGCAAAAGATCCCTTTTTACTGAAAAAAAAAAGTCTGGACTCCCTTATTTATTTGTATATATGTATGAATGCATGTGTATCTTTTGCAACATTTGTCTGACATTATCAATGCCCTTTTTTCTTTTGTACACTGGAGGTTTGAGAGAGGTTTAAGCAGGAGACTGGAAATGTTTGTTTTATTTTTATTTATTTTTTTTACAGAGTAGAGACCTGAAAATGTAGTCTAATGGGCGATTCAAATGTTTAGCCAGTACATTTATTTATAGTGTTCTAGAGTAAAAAACAAAACAAAGTATTTCACATGATTGGTTCCAACAAAGGCAGTTGTGCCTTGCCAAACCACATGGCAGAATATCTCACTACCTCACCGTGTGTTCTCAGGCCGTCAGCAGGTGGCACGCCCTCGACCGGTAACCGAGAGCCGAGATGGCAGAGTCGAGGCACAGAGGCCCATGAAGAAAGTTGCCACTGGGGAGGACTGGGCCAACAAAGACGAGTACCCACAAGAATTTTCTATCCTTATGTATGTGGTGTATAAGCTGAGGTTAACACACCTTTGCATTGTGGTTTCCAGAGTCAGCATATAATCTTCATTCAGCATCACTGCCAATTAAAAAAAAAATCCAGTTTATGATTAGTGTAAAATGTTTTTACTCACTTCACCCATAAAATTTAGACTTTCAATGGGGAACATTATGGTGCCATTTAAAACAAATCTTCTATTTTTCCTCTTAATATGACAAGTTAATAGTGAAACAATCCCTTGCTTTACTCCACGCACTCAGGGTTTTTGCTGCTACAGTCTTGCTTGTTCTAGGTCAACCAGAATAAATGAAGAGTAAAGTGAACTGTAATTGTCAGTGATTAAGTAATGTCATTCAAAATAAGACAATACCATTACTAATGTCTAGAGCAGTAAATCAACAGCTGGGTTTGAAATGTAGGTGATGTCACAGGAATAAACTGAGTTTTAATGTGATTGGTTCCCAGGCCTTCCTATAATGCTGACTCTGACCTCATGAGCAGAGGGGGGATCAGAGGTAGGAGAGGAGCAAGAGGTGGAAGAGGATATACAAAGAGCTCAGACAACTTCAACCCAAGGGGCAAGAGAGAATATGATCGACACAATGGAACGTAAGCCTTTTAATATAGAGGTCAACTTTAAAAAGCTTCTTCTTGTTGAGTTTTCTCACATACCAGTGTATTGACGACCTTTCTGATGTTTGTTGCAGAGGAATCTCTCCTGAGGAAAAGAGGGGAGGCAGAGGACCCTGGAACTGGGGTTGTGTTGAAGAAGCTACAAGGTAAGGAATGTTTCTGTAATGTGTAAAGGAGAACTTTTCTACTTGGCCTTAATAAGAGACATCTTTGTTCATCTCCCATTTGTGAAGTGAATTAATGGAGGTGACAAACAATGTGCCAGTCAAATCTGAGGAGCCCCCAGTGGACGAAGAGAATCAGAATCGGTGAGTGACAGTGGCACATCACCTAACTTGGTATCAGATTGATGTCTCAAGAATGACTGTGGAAAACTCTAATCTTGTGTAGCAAATGCAGTAACCAAAATAGGGTAAAGTTTTGACAAATCATTAACAGGAATAAACTGATAAGGAAGGGGGGAAACCTTTCTTTTCTGTTGTAAAGATACAAAATTGTTGGTCAGACTGAAGACAGACAACATGTTACAGGCTTTCTTTCTGTTCACTTAACACTAGAATAACATGCAGCATTAAGTAAATATGGAACTGGAAATTGCCTGCTGTTTTCAACACAGTGCATCAAGCTGCTATAACTGAAGCTGATCAAAAATCAAATGTGTAAAAGTAAAAGATGACTTAATATTTTTCATCTAAACAATACCTGACAATTTTTGCCTTAATATTTATTTTATTAATACTTGTGCAGTGATTCATTTAATACATCCCCTAGCACCCAACAATATACCTCAAGAGTTTATGGTCACATCTTTTTATTTATTTATTTTTTTTATGACACACAAGAGAAGAATTAGTTTGACAGTGGCATACTAGAGTTCAGTTTTAATTTAATCTGAAAATTAAGTGGATTAACAGAAATAGTTTGTCCCCACTTGTGACAGAGCAACCGAAGAGGATGGCGAGGTGGTGGTTCAGGTTGCCATGGAGATGACCCTGGATGAATGGAAGGCCTTGCAGGAGACGAGTCGTCCCAAAGCAGAATTTAATATCCGCAAGACGGAGAACAAGATTCCTTCCAAGGCCAAGGTCATCCACCAGTCAAAGCACCTACAGGTGAGAATGTAAAGCATTTCATGGAATTTTTCACAAGGAAACAGTGAAGCCCTGATGAAAGTGAAGCTATGATTTGGTAGTAAGAGCTGGCTTGTAGACAACCTGAGCAATACCTTATCTTGCAGTGGTGTTTGACTGAAACACAGACTTAAGTCCTTCAGAAATGTATAAACTAGTCAGTCGGTTCCTCTTAGCCTGAATATAGATGGTAGTTAATAGACATAATGTTGCTGTCGGGTTAAACTGTCAGGCTTAGATTTAGTGTTTGCCTCCAATCTTCAGAACCTCAAGGGTGCTCTGGAGGACATGGAGGATGACTGCAGCTTCTTCCGTAGATCTACAAATGACATCACTTCCCTTCTGGACATCAATTTTGGGAGTCTTGGACGCCCCAGTCGTGGGGGTCGGGGAAGGGGAGCACGGGGCGGAGGAGCACGGGGCGGTGGAGCACAGGGCGGTCCAACTAGTCGCCCAGAGAGAGCCAACCAAATATTTGAGAGGGTATGTATCTAAGGTGATACTAAGGAGATGAATGCACATCAGTGTTTGGGTATTAAAATAGAAGAATAGGACTCACTTCTGTAAAGTCCCCATTTGCAGTTGAGCTTCTCTATTTTTTTTCTTTTTTTTCTCTTTAAATGACTGTTTATTGGTAGACAACTGACAGTAAAAACCAATGTGCTTGCCTCACCTAGCTGGCAACCTGATAGCAAAGTATAATTAAGGTAATGTAAGGGTCAACCAGAATGAGGAACAGGTCCTATGTTAAGTGAATTGTGGAGTCTAATTTATGTTGATTGTCCATTTTCCCTTTAGGATAATCTGGCTCCTAACCCAGATGACCCAGAAGACTTCCCAGCACTATGCAAAGGAAGATGAGTGAATCCACTTGTTTACCTCCTATGGGGAAAATTGGTTGCACTTGACACTTGCTAGAAATGTTTTCATGTTGCTGTTAAGGTATGGGGTTTTATTGTACTCGATTTTTGTTTAATTGCACTGAAAGCACTGTTCCTGCATCTGACTCCTGAAGAATAAATACTTGTGCAAATGAATCTTGGAGCTGTAGTTTGAACATGGCAAGAGGTTTAAAAGTCTGGCTTAATGGACCCTGGTTAATGGTCTTGCCTTTTGTGCAAATGTACTCGGATGGTTAACAGGATAGTGCCTTACTGTGATTTTGGGCCAAGGACAACTGTCACCTTTTCTGTTAAATGTATGTTGGTGGTACAAGGAGTAAGATGCACTTGGGAATACTTTTATTTAAAAAGCGTGATGTTAGTGGATTATGAACATGATTTACACAAGCCATTAGGCTCATTGACTTGACAGGAATCAAGCATTGTACAAAATATTTACAAAATGCAATATCAAATGTTGACCTATTTACAGTTTTGGAATACAACAGCTGAGGCTTCACAAATAACAGGAATAAGACAAGCCAGAGGTATGGAGCACAGATGTGCACAGTACTACACCTTGTGATGGAATTCTGGACATTAAACTGAATATTACATAGATGGCAAACATTTTTTTCTTGGAGGCCCAAGAACAAGTTCTATTCAGACTCCTGGCCAAATGTGAGTCAGTCTCTCATCTTATAAACCAGAACATCTGTTGCACAGTGCTCGTGTCAGAAACCTTACGTTTACACATTCATATGCTAGAGTGGATGTGGTTCAGTCTTTGCTACTGCATGCTTCAAGAAGAGGAACCAACCACACATTGATTACAACTCTGTTTAAAAAAGAAAGTGAATTGATTAAAATGAATCTAAAAGTAACTTGCATATCATGGTTAGGTTTTTTTCAAACCTTTCAGAATTAAAGATCAAAGAGAGCAGTATAGCTGAGTGGGGGCAGTAAAATCCCTCAGGTTTTCCAGATCCAGAAGCTCACCGAAGTAGAGGAGCTCTAGCTTTGGGTATGGAGTGCCTAAAAACAAACGCAAAGTCCAACAGTAAGACAGATTTACATTGTGCTATTAGCTAATTAGTTAACATTTCTTCATTCAAGCAACTAGTGTTTGCAAATGAATCAGACATGCTGATCAAAATGCTTTATAAATTATGAGATGCCACATGATGTATCTAAAATATAACAGAGTAAAGGAGAGAGATACCATAGCCTGGAATATCGAACTGATTGCAACGAGCTGTGAGCTTTATATCCTTTGACAGTGCGTCTGTTACAGGCAAGAGAAAGAAGAAACGTTGATTAGCACCAGTGAAAGATGCAGACATGACTGCAGAGTGATGTTAACAGGCAGAAGTAGCAATGAGAAGCAGAATCCAGAGAAGCTATAGCCAGTCACAGTCCAAACTCTGCTGCTCTTTGAAAACATGCAAGGAAAGCTACTGAGGGAAGAGTAGGGAGTTTTCAGTTTGGTACATGAGCAGGGTCAGATTTGCCTAATGTTAGTCCACATAATCTTGGCACAACATCTGAGTACAGAAGAACAGGCTGGTTTGCACCATTATCATTTAGTGACAGTTTAGTTAATCAGATCTGAAATGAACTGTGTTGGACAATTTAGTCAATAAGAAAGAACATGGTTAAACCACAATTTGAAACATTTAATCCTTGTTGATGCATACTAGCTTAAGGACATTAAGTGATAATGACAACTACTGTCTTGAGCATTAATTAAGTGGAGAAAGAAGAAGAGAGATGAGCATCTGGATTCGAACTGGATTTACACACACAGCAATTAAATGATCTTTAACTTTGCTCCATAAATCTGATCGATGTGTGGCTGAGAAAAAATTATTCATTTTAAATCTGATCATTCCTGTTTGGGTATCACAGAAACATGCTTTTCATAAAAAAATTTAACTTGTTAAAAAAATGGGTTTGTCTGTGTGTAAATGCAGCCCAAACCTCTATATGGCTGAGAGTGGGTGTGTGGGTGCTTGCCTGCAGGTGACCTTGTGCCATGTTTAAGTTGATGAGAGTGCCTGTGTGGGCTGTGGCACTGGCTGTGTCTCTATGGCTGCCACCTGGCTCCCCAATTATTTGGGCTCTGT